GGTGTTGGGGTAGGGGTGTTGGGGTAGGGGTGTTGGGGTAGGGGTGTTGTGATAGGGGTGTTGGTTGGCGCGGGGGTGGTGGGGTAGAAGAGAGGGGGGTGTGTGTGTGGTTGGATTTTGTCTTTACTAATGTCAGCGTCTTGGCAATTGCACCGGCACGGGGTCCCCGGCATCGATCCGGCACAGGGCTCGCGCACTCACGACGCCCGGCAGTGACAGAGAGAGGAGAGAGGAGAGAGAGATTCTTTAACATCTCAATGGCGAGGGTGGCTGCTCTGCCTTCAAAGTAAGCTCGCGCTACGATAAGGACATCACAAAGAAAAAGACCGCCCCCCACCATAGCCTCAACTGACTTTTGGGGCAAGTGCTGTTAGCGAGTGCCTATGAAGGCCGGCACGGTACACGAGGGAGGTGGGTGGGCAGCACAACGCCCGGCCGCCTTTGTCTCCCTTGTGGCGATGTTTACACATCGGCACTAGGTACTTGATTTGAGGCTGAATCGGCCTAGGGGAGCTCCCGGAACCGGCTCAGATGATCGTCACTGGCGTTGGCCGTGAGCGGGAATCGAACTCGGTTCGGAGCGCAGTACCGCTCCACCGCCGCTCCCCACACCCAGACGACAAAAAAGACAAACACTCACGCACGCACAGATGCACACTCACACAAATTCACATTCTCAAACATTCTGGTTTTGGTGGCCGTGAGAGGCAATCGAACTCGGGTCGCCAGGTTCGTGGTGCAGCACGCAAACTGCCACGTGCCCCCATGCAACCACGACCACTGCCTGATGACCCAAACAACACTAAATATACACGGGATAGGCTTCGCAGGATGCTGGGGCGAGTGCTGGTGGCGAGCGCCCATGAAGATCAGCGTGGCGCGCGATGGGCGGTGGTGTTGCGGCCAGCGCCACGCCCGTCCGCCTTTGTCTCTCCCAGTGGCGACGTTGACACACCACACCAGGTAGCTGCTCATTTACCGCCGAGTCTATAAACTATTTTTTTTTATTTTACCAGGTAAGGCCCAGTGAGCTGCATGGCTCATGTTTCACAGATGTTCGCTCAACAAAGTGGCTTACCATGCGGAAATTGACGGCAGCCAAAGATACTCTCAACGCGTGACGTTGTTGATTCTAAATGTGGAGGGAACAACCGGAGGATCCGCAGAAAATACCGCGTGCTCACGGGGAGGGCATGGAAATTCCAAATATACAGGCATCAGGGTTGGGATTGAAACGAAGACCTCCTGTATACCAGGCGAGGTAGTTAACATCTCGCCGCCATGGTGCCCTAGGGGGAGTGCAAGGACAAGTTCAGACATTTGGTCACACGTGTTAAATGGTGAGCGAAAATCGAACTCCGGACGCGGGAGTCCGTAGCGTGCAGTGCGCTAACCACTGTGCCACGGCTCCCCACTGACTACTCAATCGCCGACACTCAAATGAAATTTCCATGGTCGCCGTCATCATCATCATCATCATCATCCATGCTGCTGGAATTTAAATTGGTCCCTGCCAATGGAATGTGGAATTTCCTCCACTGAAAAAGAACGGTGCATGCCCGGCCACCTTTGCCTCCCTCGTGGCGATGTCGACGCATCGGTACCAGGGTATGCATTTGAGGTTGAATCGACCGAGGGGAAGCGATAATCGAACTCGTGGTCATCAGGTTCGTAGCACAGCGCGCCAATCGCTGTGCTACTGCTCTCCACACGCACTTGCGCACACACGGAGAAGTGACTACACACGCACACAGGTGCGTGTGTAGTCATGAGTTCAGAAGACTTTGCTTGCATCGCGCATATGTATTAAAACTCACATGTCCCTCCATCCCCTCCATTCTTATCTCTCTCCTCCCTCCATCTCCCTCCATCTCCCTCGATTTTCCTCCATCTCCATTCATCCCCCCATCTCTCTCCTCCCTCCATCTCGCCCCGTCTATCCCCCTCCATCCCCTCCATCCATCCCTCCATCTCCCTCTATCTCTATACTCCCTCCGTCTCCGTCCATCTCTCTCAATCTCTCTCCTCCCTCCACCTCCATCCATTACTCTCCTCCCTGCATCTCCCTGCATCTCCCTCCATCCCTCCTTCTCCCTGCATCCCCATCCATGCCTCCATCACCCTCCATCCCCATCCATCCCTCCCTCCACCTCCATCCCCATCCATCCCTCCATCACCCTCCATCCCCATCCATCCCTCCATCACCATCCATCCCCATCCATCCCTCCATCACCATCCATCCCCATCCATCCCTCCATCACCATCCATCCCCATCCATCCCCATCCATCCCTCCATCACCATCCATCCCCATCCATCCCTCCATCACCATCTATCCCCATCCATCCCTCCATCACCATCCATTTCCCTCGCTCCATCTCAATCCCTCCCTCTCTCTTCTCCGCTCACACACTCCTGATGCTGCCCCCCTCAACAACCAACACCTCCTGCCCCCCCCCCTGCACCCCCCCCCTTCCCGCAGGGAAAGTGACGCACGGACGCCCCCCTTGGTCGAGAGTTCGTGTGACAGTGGCAGAGTGGACGATTAGTGGAGAGAGAGGGGGGCAGATGGGAAAGAGGGGAGGGGGGGGGGCGATGAGAGAGAGAGGCAGGGGAGAGAGTGGACAAGAGAAGAACATGGGAGGGGGGAGGGAGATAGGAAGTAGAGGGGGGACAGAGTAGAAACATAGTGAAGAGAGAGAGAGTGGAGTGTGAGACAGAAGAGAGAGAGAGTGGAGTGTGAGACAGAAGAGAGAGAGAGAGTCGCAGGGGGGAAGAGTCAGGAGAGAGAAGCCAGTGGAGACAGAGAGGGTAGGGAGAGGAGAGTGAGGACAGATTGACGTAGAAAAAAAAAAGATAAAGAGGAGTGGGGGTGTGAGAACGCGTCGCGAGAGAGACAGAGAGAGACAGAGAGAGGGGAGAGTGGGGCGGCGAAATTGTATAAGAGGGATGAGAAAGGTGTGGGGAAAGAGAGTTGTGTGTGTGTGTGTGTAAAGAGAGAGGGGGATGATACAAGTGGGAGATGGAGAGCAGGAGAGAGGCAGGGTGGGGAGAGCGTCAGCTGGCAATGCAGCTCGGCAACGTTCATCAGGCGAGGGCCAAGTGAGAAGATGACTGCTATCCGTAACACCCACAACCCCGCAATTCCACATCACTTGTGATGATGCGTGCGTGCTTGCGTTGTTTGGCTGGGGTGGGGAGTGGTAATGCAGCGGTTAGCGCGCCACGCTATGAACCGGACGACCTGAGTTCAATTCCTGCTCACGGTGGACACCAGCGACGATTATCAAGCCGAGTGAGTGGGTGGGTCAGTAGGTGAGTGGGGGGGGTGAGTAGGTGAGTGGATGGGTGAGTAGGCGAGTGAGGGGGTGAGTAGGTGAGTGGGTGGGTGAGTAGGTGAGTGGGTGGGTCAGTAGGTGAGTGGGGGGGTGAATAGGTGAGTGGGTGAGTAGGTGAGTGGGTGGGTGAGTAGGTGAGTGGGGGGGTGAGTAGGTGAGTGGGTGGGTGAGTAGGTGAGTGGGTGGGTGAGTAGGTGAGTGGGTGGGTCAGTAGGTGAGTGGGGGGGTGAGTAGGTGAGTGGGTGGGTCAGTAGGTGAGTGGGTGGGTGAGTAGGTGAGTGGGTGGGTCAGTAGGTGAGTGGGTGAGTAGGTGAGTGGGTGGGTCAGTAGGTGAGTGGGTGAGTAGGTGAGTGGGTGAGTAGGTGAACGGGTGAGTAGGTGAGTGGGTGAGTAGGTGAACGGGTGAGTAGGTGAGTGGGTGAGTAGGTGAATGGGTGAGTAGGTGAGTGTGTGAGTAGGTGAACGGGTGAGTAGTTGAGTGGGTGAGTAGGTGCACGGGTGAGTAGGTGAGTGGGTGAGTAGGTGAATGGGTGAGTAGGTGAGTGGTGTGGGCGAGTAGGTGAGTAGGTGAGTGGTGTGGGCGAGTAGGTGAGTGGGTGAGTAGGTGAACGGGTGAGTAGGTGAGTGGGTGAGTAGGTGAATGGGTGAGTAGTTGAGTGGGTGAGTAGGTGAGTGGGTGAGTAGGTGAGTGGTGTGGGCGAGTAGGTGAGTGGGTGAGTAGGTGAGTGGTGTGGGTGAGTAGGTGAATGGGTGAGTAGGTGAGTGGTGTGGGTGAGTAGGTGAATGGGTGAGTAGGTGAGTGGTGTGGGTGAGTAGGTGAATGGGTGAGTAGGTGAGTGGTGTGGGTGAGTAGGTGAATGGGTGAGTAGGTGAATGGGTGAGTAGGTGAACGGGTGAGTAGGTGAATGGGTGAGTAGGTGAATGGGTGAGTAGGTGAGTGGGTGAGTAGGTGAGAGGGTGAGTAGGTGAGTGGGTGAGTAGTTGAGTGGGTCAGTAGGTGAATGGGTGAGTAGGTGAGTGGGTGAGTAGGTGAGTGGGTGAGTAGGTGAGTGGGTGAGTAGTTGAGTGGGTGAGTAGGTGAGTGGGTGAGTAGGTGAGTGGGTGAGTAGGTGAGTGGGTGAGTAGGTGAGTGGGTGAGTAGTTGAGTGGGTGAGTAGGTGAATGGGTGAGTAGGTGAGTGGGTGAGTAGGTGAGTGGGTGAGTAGGTGAGTGGGTGAGTAGTTGAGTGGGTGAGTAGGTGAATGGATGAGTAGGTGAACGGGTGAGTAGGTGAGTGGTGTGGGTGAGTAGGTGAGTGGGTGAGTAGGTGAATGGGTGAGTAGGTGAGTGGGTGAGTAGGTGAGTGGTGTGGGTGAGTAGGTGAATGGGTGAGTAGTTGAGTGGGTGAGTGGTGTGGGTGAGTAGGTGAGTGGGTGAGTAGGTGAGTGGTGTGGGTGAGTAGGTGAATGGATGAGTAGGTGAGCGGAGCGGGTGGGCGAGTTGCAGGAACCGATGGGAACCGCGAAGCTGCGAGGTCCAAATCTCGCTGTCACGTCACGAGCTGCCCACCGGAGCCAGCGGTGGGTCGCGGTGCGGTGCGGTGGGTCGCGGTGCGGTGCGGTGCGGTGAGGAGCGGTGCGGTGCGGTGCGGTGAGGAGCGCCGCTCGGCCAGGGCCCACACTGACCGGGGCGCAGCTCCAGTGGCGGCAGCGACTCGGCATGCAGGAAGTAGAGGGTGGGCCCCACCGTGAAGACGACGTAGTTGTCGTGCCGCTCGTCCAGGATGATGAGCACCAGGTCTCCCACCTGGAAGCTGCGGCGACACGCACACACGTTAAACGGGCGCTGCAAGTCGCTCGCCACGGATGAGCCGCTGCCGCCAGTCGCTGATCTCGCCCCGATGTATGAGGGTAAACCATCATCCACCGCGCGAGCTTCGATCATCCTCGCAGCAGCAGCGGCGGCGGCACTTTGGCTGCTGGCCGTCGGACGACGACGGCGGTGGTCGCCGCATCGAGCGCTTTCAGATGCGCTTCAGCGGCCGTCTGGAACGCTCTCCCTTCCGATATTCGGAAACTACAGGAGATAATCACTTTTAAAATCTAGGCTTGAGTTTAGTTTGTTGTCCTTCGACCGCACCTCCAATTGGCACGGTTGGCTACGTACGGTGCAGAAAAAGTTCAACATACATACATACAAAGATCCCCCGTACAGCCTTAACAGACTGTTGGGGCAAGTGCTGTTAGCGAGCACCTATGAAGGTCGGCACGCCACACGAGGCGGTGGGGGGTGGGTGGACAGCACCACGCCCGGCCGCCTTTGTCCTCCGAGTCACAATGTTTACACACCGCAGAAGGTATTCGCTCGAGGTAGAGTCGACCTACATGGGAGGCCCACGACCGGTGCAGATGTTCCTCACCAACGTTGGCTGTTGGCCGCGAGCGGGAATCAAAACTCCGGTCGCGGGGTTCATAGCGCAACGACGCACTGACCGTGGCACCACCACAGACACATACACACCGATATAACCATCCTTGATGACGTGCGTGTGTGTGTGTGTGTGTGCGTGCATCAGATGTGGTACGGGAGGATGTGGAGCTGAGTGGACTTGCCAAAGACTGGTACCAGCGGTGTCAGGTTCGGCCTCCATGGAGGAGGCTCGTGAAGGACGCTACTGGGCAGTTGGAGGCAGCCACCCTCCAACAACAACTGATGGCAGAGGAGCAAGGCTCACAACAACGAGCGGAGGGCAGGGTGGCTAAAATCTAGCAAAGTTGGCACAGTAGGGTGTACAGTCAGCCAACCCAAGGCACCTGGGTCTGTCCCAAGACCTCCAGTCAGCGAGGCCTTCGACACTTCACGTGGACTCAAAGTGCACCTGGCCTGGCACAGGCGCCGTGGTGACGTCACCGTCACTTAGTGGCGAATGGCGGCTGTTGGTGGTGGTGTTTCAGAACGTCTCTCTTCTCCCAGAGTGCAGCTATTCACCTGGATTTCAGCCGCCCGTTAATTAAACGTGGACAATCAAGTGCAGCGGGTCGACGCCTCCCAGCCTGGTGATGACAGCCTTCCCTACGTTCAATCACGTCAACAGGTCCGCCACCCAGGCCTCCCTCTTTCCGCTGACACATCTACGAGCCGTGCCAGTGCACAGTGCAAAGAAAAATATATAACAGGCGCCGTTTCGTGGCAACGTCCCTAATGTATAGCGCATACATCGACACGGTAGATTGGTGGCTTTCGGATACAATGTTCCCCATCAAACTTTCTACGACTACGCGAGCAGGGGATTTTCTCGCAGGGAGCTATACCACCGTCCACTTGCTACACCGTCCCCCGAATGCTCCGGAAAAATCCTCGTTAGCTTTTGGCACCCATCAGTGGTTACCGGTAAAATGTCTCACGGAACCGACTTCTCTCTCTCCACATCCCTCCCTCCCTTCCCAATCGATGGGATTAATTTACAGAGCGCGCTCTGGCCATTCATCACGCTCACTGGGCCCGGCGCGCGAACAAAAACACCGCCCGTCACTTCCTCCGGGCTCGCCAACGGAGAGGGACAACGACGACCGCCAACGACGATGAGCGGCAACAGCAACAAGCACCAACGACGAGCACCAACGACGCCCTCCGCGGAGGCGGAGCGAGGGGAGCGAGGGGAGCGAGGGGAGCGAGGGGAGCGAGGGGATCGGCTTCGCGTGCGCCGGGCCGCGAACGGCGACGACGACGACTCGGGGCAGAGGCCGTCATCAGCCCAGCAGTGGATCGATCATGGCCGGCAGGTCACGACGACGTTGGCAACGGCGACCGGTTGGGCGCGACGAGGTTGCGGGGGCAACAGGTCCGCGCGTCGCGTAGCGCATGCGCCGAGCGACGCATCTCGCGCCAAGCCACTCTTTTTATTCCACTTCCTCCATTTCCCGCCACCCGCCCCCCGCCCCCCCCCAAACCGGCCCGCAAACGCCGCCGGCCAGAATCTACGGCACTCTGGGCCCCTTAATTTCGTTTCTGCCCACTTGAAAATAAATAAATAACCCTCCCCAGGTTCGCCCGAGAGCCGCGTGCCAAGACAGATATTGATATTGCGCCCGTGACCTCTCCCCCGCTCGCTCTCCCCCCCCCCTCCCCTCAACCCTCCACCCCCCAACGCCTCGGGGGGGCCCCGTGACTTCCTGAGCCCCCCCCAACACCATCCCGTTCCAGCGCACACACACACACACAGGTTACTCCCCCATCCTCTTATTGCCAAGACGGCCAATTACATTTTTGTATTGGAGGGGGGGGGATGGTGGGTGCTGGTGGGGGGTGGTGGGGGGAAGTGGGGGGGGGGTGGTGGGGGGTAGTGGGGGGAGGGGGGTGGTGGACGGAAGTGGGGGGGGGGGTGGTGGGGGGTAGTGGGGGGGGTGGTGGAGGGTGCTATTAGAGAGGGGGAGGGAGATTGCCACTGTCCCCCAACAGCAGGTGGGAGAATGCGCAGACTCAGGTGCCGCGGTGGCTAGGAGATGTTGACTACCTCCCCTGGTACACAGGACGTCATGCGTGTTCACTCTCATCATCATCACGGTGGCTAGGAGATGTTGACTACCTCCCCTGGTACACAGGACGTCATGCGTGTTCACTCTCATCATCACCACGGTGGCTAGGAGATGTTGACTACCTCCCCCGGTACACAGGACGTCATGGATTCCATCCCGACCCTGACGCCTGCTGCTGTATATTTGGAGTTTGCGTGTCTCTCTCTCATCATCATCACGGTGGCTAGGAGATGTTGACTACCTCGCCTGGTACACAGGACGTCATGCGTGTTCACTCTCCGCGTGGTCGCGTGGATTCTTCGCTGGGTTCTCTGTTTCCCCTCCCGCCCGCCACCTCCCACAATTAGAATCACCATCACGCGTTCAGGACTATTTGTCTGCTATGCATGTCCACATGACGACAAGCCACTTCGTCGAGCTGCCATTTGTGATCGTCAGGCCACGTCTGAAAAAGAGCGAAAAGCTCAGTGGGCCTTACCTGGTAAAATAAAAAAAAAATAGCTTAGTTTCACTTTAGTTTAGACTCCACTCAGGAAGTCACCCGGGTTAGGAATTGAACCCAGGCACTTGTTTCTTGCGGTGAGGCCACGAGCGAAGCCACCGCAACGTCACCACCCTGCCGCGTACCCCCCCTGCCCCTCCCCCCCCCCCCCCCCCCCAAGACGATCACGGTGATGAGGAACAACGACTTCTAGATTTGAAGCTTTCGTGACTGCAAGGATCCATACTCTTTGGTTCTATTCGGTAAAGTCACGTAGGTGAAAAAATAAAACAGCAAAAAATCACGACGTCTCGGGCACTTGTGTTGTGGCCGAAACGTCGTGATTTTTGTTGTTGTTTGATTTTTTACCTACGTGACTTTACCGAACAGAACCAAAGAGTACAGGAACAATGACGATGACGACAGTGGCGGCGGTGATCACGATGGTGGTGACGACCATCAGCTGAGTTGACCACCCCCCCCCCAACCTGGATTTCACCTCTCCCATCACCACGAGTCGGTGCCCCCCCCCCCCCCCCCCCCACACGCTACTCGCTACACCACAGGGAGCTGGGGGAAGCAGCGATGGGACGCGGCCAAAGGGGGGTTGGGGTTAGAGCCATCGACGGCGAACGGTCTCAAGGCTCTTCGTCGAGGGCCTCCCCGCCCCTTGGGCCAATCTGCTCAGCGGTGGCGGCGACGCTCGATGGAGAAGGCCCTCCAGCGGAAAACTCGAGGGGACGACGCGCCGACCAAAGAGGCCGTTGCCGCGGACGGGGCCGTCGGAACCTGCTTGCTGTACTACCTCTCAGCAGGGGCGGGGGGGGGGGGTCCCGTCTGCCAAAAGGAAAAATAAATTTTCGCTCATCCGCCCCCCCCCCACAGCCTACGTGCCCTCCCCAGCTGTCTGCTCTCCCACTCGCCCGCCCGCCCGCCCGCCCGCCCGCCCACCGCTAATTGGGAATCGATGATTTAAAATGGAAACACTTGATATGCCGCCGTGCCTCTGGTTTCGTGACGTCGGCGGCAGATCGATGGCCTCCGTGTTGCGCCGAACGCTTCATGCACTTGTTAAGAAGCGCTGTGGTGAGTGGGAGGGTGAGCGGGTGGGTGAGCGGGATAGTGAGGGAGTGGATGAGTTAACGGGAAAGTGGGTGATTTAGTGAGTGAGTGAGTGCGTGAGTGAGTGGGTGGGTGCATGAGTGAGTGCGTGAGTGAGCGGGTCATTGAAGGAGGTGATGAGTTAATGGGAGAGTGGGTGATTTAGTGAGTGAGCGATTGAGTGAGTAGGTGAGTGAGTGGGTGAGAGCAGGAGTGCATGAGTTAATGAGTAAGTGGATGATTGAGTTGAGTGGGTGATTGAGTGAGAGAGTGAGTACGTTAGTGGGTGAGTTGGCGAGTGGGTGATTGAGTGGATGAGTCTGTGGGTGAGTGATCCGAGTGAGCGGGTGAGTGAGTGGCTAAAAGGGCGAATTAGCTTACGAGTGGGTGATTGAGCGGGTGATTGAGAGAGTGGATGAGTTGGTAAGTGGGTGAGTTGACGAGTGGGTGAGTGAATGGGTGACTGAGTGGGTAAAAGGGTGAACGAGCCGCTGATTGAGCGGGTGATTGAGCGAGTGGGGAGAGAAGCGGATAAGCGAGTTGAAGGAGGCGCCCTTCTGCCAGCAGCAGTCCGAGAGGGCAATTGCGGGGCGGTACCTTCATATTATTATTATTGTTATTATTGTTGTTATTGTTGTTGTTATTGTTGTTGTTGTTATTGTAAATTGGAATACAAATCATCTCTTACAACACCACTTAATCAGCAGAGGCTGCCTCTACTTTCCACGTCACTGCTCCCAACACTGGAAACAGGTGCACGGCGATTTGGATGTGAGACGTGAGAAAGGTCGAAGGTTAGATGGAACGGGGTTGGTGGGGGGGGGGGTTAAGGTTATAGGGGGATGGTGGAGAAGGGGAAGGGGAGGGGGTGGCGCGGGGGGGGGGGGGGGGAATGCGTGGGAGGTACGTTGAGGCCGTGGAGGTTTTGTCAGGCCAAGATAAGCGAGGATTGCATGGTCAAAATATGCACCCAGCTTCCACACATGCAACGATTTCCTCTATCTCTTTGGCACCTCTCCCCTGCCGCCCACACCTGGAGCGAGGGCGGGAGCGAGCGAACGAACGAGCGAGCGAGGGAGAGAGTTGTGGTGTTAACTGAGACATTGAAGGAAGGGAGGTCACGAACCCATCCCAAGCCAATGTCAAAGGTCAATCTAGCTGTATTTACGCTTCCCTCTGGTGTCCAGTTTGACCTCACCCAGGTGATAACCGCACCGACCTAAACACCCCGACCTGGTCGCACCGACTCAAACACCCAGACCCAGTCGTACCGACCCAATCACCCTGACCCGGTCGCACCGACCCAAACAGACCGACCCAGTCGCACCGACCCAAACACCCCGACCCAAACACTCCGACCCAGTCGCACCGACCCAAACACCCCGACCCAAACAGACCAACCCAATCACCCAGACCCAGTCGTACTGACCCAAACAGACTGACCCAAACAGACCGACCCAAACAGACCGACCCAATCACCCAGACCCAGTCACACCGACCCAAACAGACTGACCCAAACAGACCGACCCAGTGGCACCGACCCAATCACCCAGACCCAGTCACACCGACCCAAACACCCGGACCTGGTCGCACCGACCCAAACACCCGGACCTGGTCGCACCGACCCATCCACACCATACTGGCAGAGGCCAGCTCACCAGTCGGCCACGCACGCCGGCAGTTGTAGCGCGCTGCGCGACGGACCTAGTCTCCGGCGGCCGGAAATCGTCGTCCGGAACGGGGTGCGTGGAGGGGGGGGAGGGAGGGAGGGAGGGGGCGACTCACTCTTTGATGGCCAGCTTCTCGGGCTGGCGAGCAGACACGGGCGCCACGCTCTGAGACATCTGTAAGAGAGACGGGAGAGGCATCGCTGCGATGTTAACACTGGGGTCCGTGTGCGTACGGGCAAAGGGGATCCCCCGTATAGCCTTTAACAGCCTGTAGGGGCAAGCGCTGGCTGTTTGGCGGGTTGTACCGATGAAGGCCGGCACGGAACACAAGTGGGGATGGGCGGCCAGCACCACGACAGGGGTTATCTCAGTAATTCTTGGGACTCCCTAAGGTCGACTCAGCCTTAAATGATTACTTGGTGCGCTGTGTGAAACTAAGCCATTCGAGAGACAAAGGAGGCCAGGTGTGATGCTGGCCACCCTAAACTAAAGCAAATTTTTTATTTTTATTTTACCAGGTAAGGCCCACAAAGCTATATAGCGTTTTTTTCAGAAGTCATCAAGCCACAAATGATAGCCCAATAAAGTGGCTTATCATGTGGAAATGTATAGCAGCCAAATACTCGATACGTGGATTTTTCTCTGGAGGACCCAGAGAAAAATCCACGCGACCACGGGGAGATAAACATGCAAACTCCAAATATACAGGCATCAGGATCAGGTTCGATCGAGCCCCTGTATACCAGGCGAGGTAGTTAACATCTCGCCACCGCGGCGCCCACCGCTTTGTGCGCCGTGCCGGCCTTCATAGGTGTTACTCGCTAATAGCACTTGCCCCAACAGTCTATTAAAGGCTATGCGGGAGATCTTTGCCTTTGCGGGTGCGTGCGTGTGTGTAAGTAAGCGTCCACGTTAATAGTCTGTGCGTATCTGGCTATCTCAGCGCAATCACTAATGACTGCACACATGCATCAATACGATTTAATATTTGCATTTGTAAAAATAAATAAATTAACTCTGCACCAGCTCGACCTTTAAGGTCTCATCAGCAGTGCTGGACTCGTGAAACGAGCGACTGCCCGACAAAACCTGCGTGAGTTCTGCCCACAAACGCCTTCGTCTGCTGCGAACCACCGGCGCTAATCGGATATCATTTAATTTATTTATCAAGAACATAACCAAGCATGCAGTCGTGGGGGTCCTGTAGATTGGGGGGGGGGGGGGGGGGGGGACCGGTTGCACCAAACGAGAGCGGCTAAGATCCAACGGTCGGCCGAACGGGAAGACCAATAATCCCGGGGTCATGACCTCCGGCCGTGAGTGCCCGCCGCTGCCGAGCCTAACGCCTCGGCGTGTCCGCGTCTCATTTTATCTTTCATTTTGGCGTCGACTCGTGACGTTTTTATTGAAGGAAGCTACCGACAAAAATATAACGCGCGGCCCATCGATCTCGCCTCTACTTTGACTCCCCGCGTGCGCACGCAAGCTCTACCCCCCCCACCCCACCCTTACTCTCCCTCCCCTCCCTCCTCCTCTCTCACGCTCTCTTTCTCCCTCTCTCCCTTGATCACTCTCGCACACAGTGGATCGCTCTTCCGAATGCTCTCAATCGCTCTGTCTCGTGTGCAGAGTTTGTATGTTCTCCCCCTGTTGTGTCGAATGTGGGTGAGTGGAGTTCGTGTGATCTCCACCTGTTCTACAGAGTGAGTGAGTGTAGTTTGTATAATCTCCCCCTGTTCTACAGAGTGAGTGAATGGAGTTTGTGTGATCTTCACCTGTTCTACAGAGTGAGTGAGTGTAGTTTGTATGATCTCCCCCTGTTCTACAGAGTGAGTGAGTGAGTGGAGTTTGTATGATCTCCCCCTGTTCTACAGAGTGAGTGAGTGGAGTTTGTATGTTCTCCCCCTGTTCTACAGAGTGAGTGAGTGTAGTTTGTATGATCTCCCCCTGTTCTACAGTGTGAGTGAGTGTAGTTTGTATGATCTCCCCATGTTCTACAGAGTGAGTGAGTGCAGTTTGTATGATCTCCCCTGTTCTACAGAGTGAGTGAGTGGAGTTTGTATGATCTCCTCGTGTTCTACAGAGTGAGTGAGTGTAGTTTGTATGATCTCCCCCTGTTCTACAGAGTGAGTGAGTGTAGTTTGTATGATCTCCCCCTGTTCTACAGAGTGAGTGAATGGAGTTTGTGTGATTTTCACCTGTTCTACAGAGTGAGTGAGTGTAGTTTGTATGATCTCCCCCTGTTCTACAGAGTGAGTGAGTGTAGTTTGTATGATCTCCCCCTGTTCTACAGAGTGAGTGAGTGTAGTTTGTATGATCTCCCCTGTTCTACAGAGTGAGTGAGTGGAGTTTGTATGATCTCCTCGTGTTCTACAGAGTGAGTGAGTGGAGTTTGTGTGATCTCCCCCTGTTCCACAGAGTGAGTGAGTGGAGTTTGTATGATCTCCCCCTATTCTACAGAGTGAGTGGAGTTTGTATGATCTACCCCTGTTCTACAGAGTGAGTGGAGTTTGTATGTTCTCCCCCTATTCTACAGAGTGAGTGAGTGGAGTTTGTGTGATCTCCCCCTGTTCTACAGAGTGAGTGAGTGTAGTTTGTATGATCTCCCCCTGTTCTACAGAGTGAGTGAGAGGAGTTTGTGTGATCTTCCACCGTTCTACAGAGTGAGTGAGTGGAGTTTGTATGATCTCCCTCCGTTCTCCAGAGTGAGTGAGTGGAGTTTGTATGATCTCCCCATGTTCTACAGAGTGAGTGGAGTTTGTATGTAATCTCCCTGTTCTACAAAGTGAATGAGTGGAGTTTGTGTGATCTCCCCCTGTTCTACAGAGTGAGTGTAGTTTGTATGATCTCCCCCTGTTCTACAGAGTGAGTGTAGTTTGTATAATCTCCCCCTGTTATACAGAGTGAGAGAGTGGAGTTTGTATGATCTCCCCCTGTTCTACAGAGTGAGTGAGTGGAATTTGTGTGATTTCCCCCTGTTCTACAGAGTGAATGAGTGGAGTTTGTATGATCTCCCCCTGTTATGCAGAGTGAGTGGATTTTGTATGATCTCCCCCTGTTCTACAGAGTGAGTGGAGTTTGTATGATCTCCCCGTGTTCTACAGAGTGAGTGGCGTTTGTGTGATCTCCCCCTGTTCTACAGAGTGAGTAAGTGTAGTTTGTATGATCTCCCCCTGTTCTACAGAGTGAGTAAGTGGAATTTGTATGAGCTCCCCCTATTGGACAGAGTGAGTGAGTGTAGTTTGTATGATCTCCCCCTGTTCTACAGAGTGAGTGGCGTTTGTGTGATCTCCACCTGTTCTACAGAGTGAGTAAGTGTAGTTTGTATGATCTCCCCCTGTTCTACACAGTGAGTGAGTGGAGTTTGAGTGCTCTCCCCCTGTTGGACAGAGTGAGTGAGTGGAGTTTGTATGATCTCCCCCTGTTCTACAGAGTGAGTGGAGTTTGTATGTTCTCCCCCTGTTCTACAGAGTGAATGGAGATTGTGTGATCTCCCCCTGTTCTACAGAGAGAGTGAGTGGAGTTTGTGTGATCTCCCCCTGTTCTACAGAGTGAGTGGAGTTTGTATGATCTCCCCCTGTTCTACAGAGTGAGTGGAGTTTGTATGTTCTCCCCCTATTCTACAGAGTGAGTGAGTGGAGTTTGTATGATCTCCCCCTGTTCTACAGAGTGAGTGACTGTAGTCTGTATGATCTCTCCCTGTTCTACAGAGTGAGTGAGTGGAGTTTGTGTGATCTCCCCCTGTTCTACAGAGTGAGTGAGTGGAGTTTGTATGATCTCCCCCTGTTCTACAGAGTGAGTGAGTGGAGTTTGTGTGATCTACCCCTGTTCTACAGAGTGAGTGGAGTTTGTATGATCGCCCCCTGTTCTACAGAGTGAGTGTAGTTTGTATGATCTCCCCCTGTTATACAGAGTGAGAGAGTGGAGTTTGTATGATCTCCCAATGTTCTACAGAGTGAGTGAGTGGAGTTTGTGTGATTCCCCCCTGTTCTTCAGAGAAAATGGAGTTTGTATGATCTCCCCCTGTTCTGCAGAGTGAGTGAGTGGAATTTGTGTGATCTCCCCCTGTTCTACAGAGTGAGTGAGTGGAGTTTGTATGATCTCCCCCTGTTGGACAGAGTGAGTGGAGTTTGTATGATCTCCCCCTGTTCTGCAGAGTGAGTGAGTGGAGTTTGTGTGATCTCCCCTGTTCTACAGAGTGAGTGAGTAGAGATTGTATGATCTCCCCCTGTTCTACAGAGTGAGTGGAGTTTGTACGATCTCCCCGTGTTCTACAGAGTGAGTGGAGTTTGTGTGATCTCCCCCTGTTCTACAGAGTGAGTGAGTGGAATTTGTATGATCTCACCCTGTTGGCCAAAGTGAGTGAGTGGAGTTTGTATGATCTCCCCCTGTTCTACAGAGTGAGTGAGTGGAGTTTGTATGATCTCCCCCTGTTCTACAGAGTGAGTGAGTGGAGTTTGTATGATCTCCCCCTGTTCTACAGAGTGAGTAGAGTTTGTATGTTCTCCCCCTGTTCTACAAAGTGAGTGAGTGGAGTTTGTGTGATCTCCCCCTGTTCTACAGAGGGAGTGAGTGGAGTGTGTATGATCTCCCCCTGTTCTACAGAGTGAGTGGAGTTTGTATGTTCTCCGCCTATTATACAGAGTGAGTGAGTGGAGTTTGTGTGATCTCCCCCTGTTCTACAGAGTGAGTGAGTGTAGTTTGTATGATCTCCCCCTGTTCTACAGAGTGAGTGAGTGGAGTTTGTGTGATCTCCCCCTGTTCTACAGAGTGAGTGGAGTTTGTATGTTATCCCCCTGTTCTACAGAGTGAGTGGAGTTTGTGTGATCTCCGCCTGTTCTACAGAGTGAGTGAGTGTAGTTTGTATGATCTCCCCCTGTTCTACAGAGTGAGTGTAGTTTGTATGATCTCCCCCTGTTATACAGAGTGAGAGAGTGGAGTTTGTATGATCTCCCCCTGTTCTACAGAGTGAGTGAGTGGAGTTTGTGTGATTTCCCCCTGTTCTTCAGAGTGAATGGAGTTTGTATGATCTCCCCCTGTTCTGCAGAGTGAGTGAGTGGAGTTTGTGTGATCTCCTCCTGTTCTACAGAGTGAGTGAGTGTAGTTTGTATGATCTCCCCCTGTTGGACAGAGTGAGTGGAGTTTGTATGATCTCCCCCTGTTCTGCAGAGTGAGTGAGTGGAGTTTGTGTGATCTCCCCCTGTTCTAGAGTGAGTGAGTGGAGTTTGTGTGATCTCCCCCTGTTCTACAGAGTGAATGAGTGGAATTTGTGTGATCTCCCCCTGTTCTACAGAGTGAGCGAGTGGAGTTTGTGTGATCTCCCATGTTCTACAGAGTGAGTGAGTGTAGTTTGTATGATCTCCCCCTGTTCTACAGAGTGAGTGAGTGGAGTTTGTGTGATTTCCCCCTGTTCTACAGAGTGAGTGAGTGGAGTTTGTATGATCTCCCCCTGTTCTACAGAGTGAGT